GCTAAATCCCTGGCTCCCATAATTTATTGTTTAATGAGTTGTTTGGGGTGGGTGTGGGATGTTGGGAGAAGCAACCTCATAAAATGAATGCCCCACAAACTAAAAAAAGAAAGAAAACAGCTTCATGTAAACAATAAATTTAAGATTACCATAAAAATTTGACTCTGTTATAGATACAGAAATCTCTTATTTTTCTTTCAACACAGACATGCAATATAGCCAGGAAATCACCAAGCCCCTTTTCCAAAGATAGGCTGCCTAGTCCTACAAGCCACCACCTGGTCATGTAGGTTTCCTCTAGCTGCGAGAGATTAGTTTCTCCAGCTTGCAGGCAGCCAGTCATCATCCTAGAGAATGGGTAGCTTGGACATCCGAGATAGGAACCCAAGCTTTCATCAAATCAAGATATCTCTGTCTTAGGTCACCACTTCAAAATAAGTGTTCTTGATATACAAGCCTTCAACCTGGGCTACACTGGCTTGACCTAGGCCTGGGAATACTCATCTCATGGAACTTGTTTCTGTGTCACATGCAAAGCTGATGAACAGTTGTTCTCCTCAGGGACTATACTCCACAGTCCTTGAGAAGTGGTGTGCTAGTTAGCCAATAATTTCAGTAATATAAATATCCCACCTTGGCCTGTTTCAAACCACCAAGAGATTAACAACTGGCTCACAACATTTCTAAAAATGTAATAGCTCTTGCTGTGTGAGCTGGCTTCAGTGCACCACTGTCTTTGCAGGTTCTTGCTGGAGTACGTACAGCTCATACAGGCTTCTTGCTCAGTGCTGGAAACCACACACCCTTCTCTGTCTTCCACATGACAGCTTTCATCTTATACACAGACACACACCAAAAGGTAACCAGAAGGTGCAAAGAAGTTTATTAACTATGATGGACTAAAAATACCAAGATTTAAAATATCTGTACACATGTCTAACAGTGCGAACCCTCCTACCAAAAAAAGAAGGTAATGAAATGCAGCAGTTAACAGTGCAACACTGGAGTCAAAGGAATGGGGCCTCCTCTTTTGGCAACAAAGTTTGAGTTGTGCAGGTAACAATTGTGCAGGTAAGCAGTCTCACTCCTATGGGTCTTTTTGAAGCTCCCCTTTAAAAGCATAAGTGAGTGGCAGATTTAGGGTCAGGATTTGGCCTCCAGAATTCTTTTACAAAATAAGCACATACAACATTTCCTCATTAAGCACCACTTCCTGTCTTAGAAAAATATGTTCCCCAACTGGCCTGAAGCAACAGGTCACAGGGGAAACACAGAGCTCTTCAGAAGTTCACATTTTGTAACAGAATTAGGAGTTGAATGCATAAAACTCAAGAGGTAACATGACCACAAGAAAAGACTGGAGCCTCAAAGTAAAAATCTGAAGGGCTTTTAACCCCTTCTGATCTCCAAATGGTGTGACAAGAGCACTGGGAGCAGCAAAAAAAAAAAAAAAAAAGAGGAAAAGAAAATAGAGAGAGAATAGCTAATAGTTAATATTAGAAAACATTAACATGTTAGGTCAAAAAAACAAACTACTTTATTTTCCTTCCATCCTTGAAGACAGCAGGGGTCCACCCACCACTTTATGTTCCTTTGGAGAAAAAAAAAGCTGTAACCTTAACCTCAATATAAGGGGTGAGGGACTGGGGATTTAGCTCAGTGGTTCCACCACCTGCCTCTCAAGAGCAAGGACCCGAGTTCAATCCCTGGTATCAAAACAAACAAACAAACAAACAAAATATGCAAGAGGTGAAAAACGAAATTGAGGCATGGGACCCAAACACACGGAGCAGACTAAAGTACCAACTGACTCCCTTGCCATGAAGGACCTATTGTTCTGTCCTTTAAAAAAGAAGGAATTGGGGGCCAGAGATTTAGCTCAGTGGCTTCGCCACCTGCTGTGCAAGCACAAGGACCCAAGTTCGATCCCTGGTACCAAAAAAAAAAAAAGAAGGAATTGGTTCAAATCATGATTAAGGCTATGAAATAATGTGTCTGCATATTCACAGAGCACCATTTACCTAAAGTGAAAAACACTCAACCTGGATTAATCCTCACAACATGCTTGCAAGGAAATTACAAGACCTAGCCAAAACTGGTTCCTCATTTAATAGGATATGGCTTTAAATGGGTTTCTGTAATAGCAGTCTCCCACTTCTCTCTCAGAAATGAAACCCACGAAAAAGTTCCCCTCACAATTGCATCTTTTGTCTTCAAATCTCCAAGAATCCAAATTATTTACTCTCATTGCTCAAATAGTTTTATTTTCTTGATGAGTTGTCAGAAATGTTCTCATTAGATCAGCTGCAGACAACCACATAGTTAACAAGTGGCCCAAAGAACTGTTAAGTTTGCCCACTAGAAAGGTAAATTGCCAATCCTACCTGCTAGCCTTTTCTATGGCCTCACATGACCCCAATGTCTAACAACTATCCAGATTCTCTAATCTTTGGACAGAAAGTTAGGCCAAATCTACAAGACAAAATGAATGACCTTCATAGAAAATACAAAAGTGATTTTATAACATACATGGTATAAAATGCTACAATCTCAAAATCTTTGAGCCCCTTAGGGAAAAACCACGGAGAAGGCCATCCTGTTGAAACAAGAAAAAAAGGAGGCAGGATAATTTTTGCCTCTCATAACAGAGAAAAGAACCTTGTTACTCTATTAAGAGGACTATTTATATATACACTGTCAATCCCTCATCAGATGTCTGATAAAGATTCTTATTTAAATTAAAATTTGAAATAGGTTGATGGAAAAGGATGGAGAAATGTGTTATAAGGTACTGAGAGATGGCAGACATACAGGTTATATACAACCTCATTTCTTCATCTCCAATATTATGCAAAAGCAGTTTGCAAATACCATAGTTCATTCATAAATGGTGCCTTTTAGAAATCAAAAAAAGGTTTTGAAGAATATTAAAGATTTGATGGCAAAGAACTACCAAAATGTTTAATAAATCCTCAATAAAAAACCATTGAAAAGTTTTTCTTCCCTCTGAAAAATGAAGGATAATCCCAGCACTCAGGAGGCTGAGGCAGACCCTACCAAGGTCTCAAGTCGTGCGGAACACGCCAAATCAGCCCGCTGCAGACAGACACGCCCTACCGAGGTCCCGAGTTGAGTGGAACACACCGAGTCAGCCTGCGCCCTGGCAACAATCCACTGGACACCCTCCCGCCGCTCCTCTGTACAGCCACCTGGTTCTACACTACAAAGACGCAGAGGACACCGGACCACCAGACCATGGTACTGAGTCCCGCAGCTCCCGGCCCAGAGGTAGGGGCTTCTGAGCTGCCGTCCCACTGCTCCTGGTCCAGAGGAAGGGGCTTCCCGGCCACCATCCCTCCCGCTGCTCCCAGCCCACAGGAAAGGGCTTTTGGG